ATATATGCATGTTTTCATTAAAACGACAGACAAGGTACTACGGTTAAGCTTTTATTTAATTTTCTTGTGTTCTGACAAGAGTTTTCTTTTCTGGACAAAGGGAGTGTAAGAACTGTCCGAATGTTTTATATTTCCGAGCGCTTTCGGCTATACCATTAGACATTATCAAGGATGATTCGATTTTTCAGCTTAAATGAGTGTGTGCGTTCTGTGTATGTCTTAGTGTGTGGAAGGGATGTTTTTAATATCCGAATACGGTTAGCACATTGTGGCTTTGTTCGTAGTTAATATTGTTAAGAGTTGGCTTTTTCCTTTTTATTATTAAAACTTCCATTATTTTTAGTCTATTTTGTAGGTGGATGCCCATATTGATTCACATAAGCAGATGTGCCATGATATTGATGATTAATCCTATATTATTTATTATAATTACGCATAGGTGTCGATTCATATTTTAATTTATAGTCCTACCTATGTTATGTCGATGTGCATGTGTTTTTAATTTTACTCTTGTTATCTAAGAGTTAGCTAACTCGACTTAATTAGTTTATATCTAATTATGTGCATACTTTTGTTATATATATATATGAAAAAAGAATATAGATTAATTTGGCTAGATTGAAAAATATTCTTCCCAAAAATATTATTTAAAAAATATTGGAACTACCAGTGACTCTCGTTTTGTACGCATGTGTAGACGTGGCAACATCAATGAAGTTCTAACGGATGAAACGCGTGACAAAACCTTTTTCGTATTTCATACTATTTTCTCCGTAAAAAAATATAAAATTATATATCGTTATATCTTACGATATATATGTGCGTGTGTTTGTGTGTACGCGCGCGCATGTGTGTATGAGTACATGTGTGTATGGATATAGTTTTTGTTTCGTTTTTATAAATATTTTGATGTGATAATTATATCTATATTTTATCTCTTATATTTAATCATATAATATATAAAATAGAGACTACCTCATCACCGCGACAACAAGATATAATCAACCAAATTTAAATTATGTAACGGTCAGTTTTGTACATGAAACACCGACTTGTGCTACTGGTGAGGAAATAACGTATATTTATTAATATATAGTTTGTAGTTATATTGCATCGAGTTATTATTTTATTAAAAACAGTACTCAATATCCGATATTATATATATATATATATATATATAAACGAATATATATATATATATATATATATATATATATATATATATGAAGAAAAATTTGGAAAAAAAAACAAAAAATCCTTAAATGCAATTATGTTGTTTAAAATGAATGAAATGTCGACGTTTGACGTTTCAATTTAAATAAACCTTTTTCAAGACAATATTCATTAAAATACAATTCAGTTCAATTTGACAAAGACGATGGACATAAACAACAAGTCTTATCCAAAACAGATAACTGAAAATTTTAAAAATGATCAGCTTTCCGTTTAGCATGGTCACGTTGTCGTAGTTATTAAAAAAAAAAAAGTGCTCGATACAAAAGTACAAAAGTCGAGCATAAATATAATTATTTATTTAAACATTCTTTTGATTCCAAGTCCTGGGATAATTTGGTCTAGAAGAGATCTTGAGTCTTATTTGACAATCTTCCTAGAGGTGGTATCATGATAAAACCATCCAGCCTCCTGTGCTGTGAACAGGTTAATAGGAGTAGATATGTTTGACTATTCCTAGCCAGCAATCCTCCAATTTAATTGAACAGAAGTGGAGGTTTTCCTGTTTCGAATATGGCCTAACCAGTTCTTTCTTCATCCATGACCTATCTTAACTTTTTTGGATAATCAGACTCTTCAGTGGCTGTGACTTTTTCATTATAAGGAGACTGGGTTGGCAGTTTTCTGGTTGCTGCATCCGACTGGTTGTCAAAAGCCCAAGAGAGATAGATAGATATTAACATACTGAAATAAAAGAGATGAAAAGATTGACATAAGCTATATATATATATATATATATATATATATATATATATATATATATATATGAGTGTGTGAAAAATATATAGAAAATAGGAAAGAACTCATTAGGTAAATGATCCAAAGTTCTTTAATATTTTTGTTATTATTTTTAAAAAATAGTGCTCGATACAAAAGTAGAGCATAAATATAATTATTTATTTAAAAATATGATTCCAACACGCTACATAAGAGGTCTCATGTTTCAAAATAAGAGCCGAAAAAAATTATTTAAAAAAAAAATTTCGCTTAAAGATGGAAGAACAGAGCTTACTTTAATTCACTTTAATTCAAATAATTATATTGAAGTTTTCGGCTCTTGTTTTGAAACATGAGACCTCTTATGTAGCGGGTTAGAATCATATTTTTAAATAAATAATTATATATATATATATATATATATATATATATATATATATATATATATATATATCACGTAAACATTGGGTAAGTGACTGACAAATGTAAAACGAAAATACGCCCACAAGAAGCATTCGAACATGCGTACCCTTTTGCAGGCGATTTAATAAGATTTCTGAATATGCCGACCGGTAGTTTAACTAAAATACAGTTTAAAATAAACGGAGCTTTATTCTTTTTATCCGAGCGCTTTCGGCTATACATTTAGCCGTTTTCAAGGATGAAATATTTTAACTATATTTTCAAGTGTTGTCTTTATCAATAAGGTTTCCATTATTTTTAGCCTTTTTTTTTTGCATGTAGATGATGCTATTATATTAATAATATCAACTATGGACACACTATTTTGTCCGTGTTTTTAAAATTGAAAATATAAATACATACATACAACAAACTATTTCTTATTTAACAGTTAAATTATTTAATCCCTTGAAAATGGCTAAATGTATAGCCGAAAGCGCTCGGATGAAAAGAACATTTGGATAGTTTTTATATAATTTATCATCTCGAAAGAAAAAAATTCTTAGATCGCATGAGAACTTGTATAAAAAACTAAATCAAAGCACCTTGTCTGTCGTATTTAATGAAATGTGCATATATATATATATATATATATATATATATATATATATATATATATATATATAGAGAGAGAGAGAGAGAGAGAGAAAGATAACAAAATATAACACTCTTGTGCATACCATATCAGCTCAATACATTTATGGTGTGGTCCGCGTAAATATTGACCAGTTATAGCGCAGAAAGATTGACGAAACTATTTCTTTTCTTGCCCTACCTATTTTTTGCTTTGGGTGTGTTCGGAGAGGGTGTGGAGAAAATGTTGTACATCAAGCAATTCTACATGAAAACGTTTTTTTTTTTTTTTTTTTTTGGTTAGCTACATCACTATTGATCGGATGGAAATGCATGTAAGTAACGGACATAGATATTGATACAGCTGCATTGCCAAATTAACATTCAGAATTACAGAGATGTTTGATTATTGACATATACATATACATATATATGTGTGCTTGCGTGTATACTAGTAATGTACGTTAGGATACGCGGGGGAAGTTCCTGTCTATTTTACGCTGTGCTAAACAGTTGTTTGTTTCTTCATTTTTTTTTTTTTAATTTCTAAAGAGATTCTCCCAGAGATGAAGAGGAGACTTGAAGCAACATAAACGTGGTTTTACAGAAGGATGCTGAGGATACTATGGATCAAACATGTGAGTAATGATTTTCCAAGCGTAGCTTAGATGTGCCACAATGCCGAAATTATGGAGCGCCCAGTGAGGATCGAACTCACTATTCAGTCGTAATTGTTCTAGCGAGACAAGCTTGCTAACCATTACACCGCCTCGACGTTGCGAGTAACACTGTATCCGAAGGTGCATTGGGTTAGCAAAAACTAAGCAAAATATTAAGAAACAGAAAAATGTTGTTAACACCAAAGAAATGACTACTGAACTGTTACGTAATATAAGTCCTCCTGTATGCCAATAAATACTGGACGATCTCCCCAAAGATGAAGACGAGACTTGAAGCAACAGAAACTTGGTTCTACAGAAGGATGCTGAGAATACCGTGGACCAAACATATAAGTGACGACGATTTGGAATCAAATGAAAACAAAAAGGAAACTAGTATTTAACATCAGAAAGAGACAGGTGAGGTTTCTAGGGCATATAATTAGGAAAGAGGGCTTGGAAAATCTGATACTCATGGGACGGTAGAGGGCATGAGAGGAAACAACGAATAACATACTTATTGAGGTCGAGTAAATAGATGGCAGAACAAGGCTTAGAAGATATAACAAAGACAAAATTTATTAAGAGTTTCAAGGGACAGGAAGTTGTGGAGAGGCATAATCGCCCACATCCTGAGCGGACACGGCACATAAAGAAGAATCTGTCGTAAATTAGTATTAGCAGAATTGTCGTAATTAAAGCAGGTCGATAGATATTTTCTTTTATATAACGTTTCTCTTCAGGGAGTCAGCCACCATGGCGCTCTACAGCATCCTAACTTTTATAGTTTCAACCAATGCCTTCCAGTCCCTCTTATTAATTCAGGTTTTCATATATCTAAAGAAGAATTAAGAAATCTAATTATAGAAAGTAAAAATTTCACTATGATATGTTGGGAAATTTCCAGATTTGTATTTAAAATACAAACTTGAAACAAAATGGCTACAAAATATGGAAAAAAAAGAAGACGTCAATTAGACATATATCCTGTCATCATTCTAAAATAACACCTTCATTTTTTTAATCTATCTAAACGATAATTAAAAATTATAATTTGTCTGAAATGTATTGGGAATTTTCCAAGTTTTCATTTGAAATGAAGAAAATGCGAACTTTAAACAAAACATTCACAATATATGGAAAAAAAAAGAAAGTATCAATTTAAACCACATCCTCCTGGCGCCATATTAAACAGACAACTTTTTCCCTATATATCTTTGTCTGATTATAATTTGGGAAAGTGAAAATTTCACTCCGATCTGCTGGAAAATATTAAAGTTTTCGTCTGAAATAAAGAAAATATGACCTTTAAATATAATAGTCAAAATATATAGAAAAAGTAGGCGTCTATTTGGCTTACGGTCACATCATGTTGAAACACCGATTCCGTACGATCACCGAAGGTAAGCAACCTCAAGCCTGGTCAGTACTTAGATGGATGACCGCTTGAGAATACCAGTTGCTGTTAGCTTGGAAATGCGTGTGGTGTAATGGCTCGGGATTGTTAATCAGAGGGCAGAGTTCCAGTTCCAATTGGTTCCGTTCTATTTCGCCCAAATACCACTGGGAAAGATACGAATTCACCTTTTCTACCCCCAGCTATGGGTTAATTAGTAAGACTTGTATAACTAGATCGATATTATCTCGAAAAAATTATTACAATCTAAAACTATTTTCTGGTTTAAATAATCAGCAAAAGGTTAATACGCCATAGAAAATACACCAATCAATCAATGAGGCGTCAATTTAAGTTTAAATATATTTAAACTGCATTTTTTTCCTGATTCAAGTACCGTTTTTATTCCCATCTCATGTATCAGAAACTTGGACATTATCTGTTCGTCTTGAAAGAGGACTGGATAGATCATATACAAATCTAGTTACATAAATGCAGGACATCAGTTGGAGATCCCATGCAACGCTTAACACAATTTACGGAGAACTAAGACAAATCGCTCTTAAGCTCAAACATAAACGATTACAATTTGCCGGTCATTGCCACCGAGCGGACATGGAAATCGTCTCATCGTTACTTCTATAGCATCCTTCTGGAAGTGTCTTCACACAAAATTTGACTTTTTCCAGGTACCATATCTCGGAGCGTAAGGTTGGATATTGGGGATCTGCGGACAGTAATACAGGAACGAACAGTGTGGAAAGGGATTATCAACGGAGTCCCGACCAACCATAGGAGGTCGTAGGATGATGATTATGTTAATGGTCCCATTTTCTTTAAAGCGTGCTCGTCACTCACGTGTTCCGTTCCTGTATTGAAAAGATTTTTTTTTTCTGTAGAACATCATATCTGTCGCCCAGTGTTTTCTCTTCATCCCTAAAGACAGTTTCCAGTAGTGAGATATCTATCGCATAGCTGTTCAACACTCCTTTCTTTGTTTCTAACGACATTTTCCTGTTTCTTAATTTCGCTTTTGAAAGACAACTTTCGCTATTTCAATTCGCATTCAGATTCTTGTGTCATTTTCCATTGGCTGCTAAACATTTCCCTGATTTTTAATTTTCTTAACTTGCCTAATTTTGTTGCATCCAGTTCGGAGCTCACCGCTTGGGCTGTCAGGCTTCCTAACAACTATACATCCTGTCTTACAGTTTGCAATTAGCCCTTTCTTCAAGCTTTCTTCTACTACTTTATCTATGAGTTACTGTGTCGTTTTCTGCGTATGCCATCAACATGTTTTCATATGCGTATCTTACGTTAAGATTGGGTTCACTTACAGTAAATCGTTGTAGACCTCCAAGTTTTCATAGGATCTCTTCGTCTATTGTGTTTCTTCTTTGCTCCCTATGAAACATTGGCTTCCTTTTGATTCTGCATCTAAACGAAAGCTGACCAAGCGTATCAGAGATTGTATTCATTCGGGCGAGCTAATAGTAAGAGTTTCAATGGGAATTTGGGTCCACATCCGGTATCCCCAGCCGCATATATACAAACATTTAGGATATTGTGATCCGGTTTGAATTCAGTGTTTCCTGCTCACAGAGTGGATAACATCCAAGACTATAGGACCAAATATTGTCCTGCTATTTCACCCATAACTGGGGGGGGGGGGAATAAATGGATTCATACCTTAGCCAAAGGCATTAGCACATGAATGTAATAAGCTTGACTGGAATTCGAACTCAGCTCTCCGATTCTTCCATCCAAGCCACTAAATATTGTTCCACAATATAAAGAGCAATAACAGGTATTCGACATAAGAAACCTATTTTTCGGAAGCATAATTTTAAGAGAAATGTTTTATAAATTTCAGCACCGACTGATTGGTCAGTAAATGCCAAATATTTCCTTATAAGGCAACGGCCAATATTACCATTATAATATTGCATTGATCCAAGTGACAAAGATTCAGACAGACGAAATGGAATCTGTGGTCACTGTAAAAATGTATGTCGATATGTATCGAATAGAACAGTTATGTATATCAATTCACTCAGTAGACATGCAAAAGACAGGAAGTTGTGGATTACCACGATCGCCCACTACCTGGAAGGCCATAATGTATATTGAGAATTAGATATGTTGGGTAATTGAATGACAAAATGGAAAAAATACTATGTAATGTGTCATGTCCTTTGAAATAACTTCATTAGAATAATGTTTTTATGGCTGGTATATATCTATCTATCTATCTATCTATCTGTCTATATATATATATATATATATATATATATATATGCGTGTGTGTATATATATATATAGGATCTAACTAACTAACCAACCAACTAACTATATATATATATATATATATACATATATATATATATATATATATATATATATATATATATATATATATATATATATATATAGTTATTTAGTTAGTTAGTTGGTTAGTTAGATCCTATATACATGTATATTTATATATAGTATCTAACAACCAACTAACTAATTATATATATATATATATATATATATATATATATATATATATATATATATAAATATAATATACTATGGCCTTCCAGGTAGTGGGCGATCGGTAATCCACAACATCCTGTCTTTTGCATGTCTACTGAGTGAATTGATATACATAATCATTCTATTCGATACATATATATATATGCGTCTTGTCCCTCTGAAAGGATTTCTTTAGACTAATGTTTTTATTGCATGTATATATATATATATATATATATATATATATATATATATATATATGTGTGTGTATATGTATATATAGGATCTATTCAACTGACCAACTAACTATATATATATATATATATATATATATATATATATATATAGTTATTTATAGTTTATTAGTTGTTGTTGTTAGATCCTATATACATGTGTATATGTGTATATAGTATTAACAATCAACTAAATTCAATTATATATATATATATATATATATATATATATATATATATATATATATATATATAATTCTCAACATACATTATGGCCTTTTAAAACTTCATTGCTCACATGTTCAGTTCACTGTATTCTCAGCATCCTTCTGTAGAACCTTATTTGTTTCTAGTCTTTGTTTTCATCTGTAAGGAGATTCTTCAGCATTCACTGCCATATGGGAGGACTGATATTCCGTTACAGTTCAGTACTTTTTTCGCTGTTTCTACCGAAATGTTCCTGTGTTTTTTTAATACTTTGCTTAACTTTTGGAAGGCATCTGTCGTTATTCCAGTGCACCTTCAGATTTTGGTATCGCATTTTCCTTACTCTGTTAAAACACTTCCGACATATTTAAATGTTTGTACATGCCTGATTTTACATTTTAAAACGAAACTATCATTCAATCTACGGCTATCAGATTTCAGGCATAATTTACGGGATAGTCTAATACAATAAAGCTGTATTAATATAAAAACATTCCGTTCATAGTTTGAGGTCAGGTGTAGGTCCATAGCCGGCGTCTCATATTAACTTCTTATATTCCTAAATGGCGCTCTCCAGATTGTTCTTATAGATCAGACTCTCAGAAATAATTCCAGAGCTGTTATCGTAAAATTCTGCGGATTCTTCAGACAATTAAATCTTCTCCAGAATCAGATTAGAAAGATGGCAGTGTGTAACGACAGACTCAGTTCCATGTTTAGTAAAATAAGGCGAGCTAATCATTCCCGGCATTTGGGAGCCAATTTAAATCTATATCGACTGCTTTCTTATACTCCTCGTAGCGAATATACTGAATGTGTATATAAGGGCATAAACACACACACATATATCTTTATATATATATATATAAGTATATGTATGTATATATGTATATTTAGGCAGCAGATCTTCATTTAAACATGTTTCATTGAAAAAAATATTATGTCTATTTTTATAATAATCCTTTCTAGTTCTTTGATCAGTTTCTTGGTGTTAAAATGAAATTTATGAAGCAAGTCTCCGTAGTTTTTACCCAAGTATTGTCCTCCGATATATATATATATATATATATATATATATATATATATATATATATATTGTAGGATAAAATATCGATAAAACATCGACGTAGTAGTAAGTATACCACGTGACATTTTTAGGGCAAATTAGGAATAATTCAAATTTCGGAGCCAATTTCTCAGGAATAACGGTATAAAAATCACAGTCACCTCAATGACAGAGTCTCTCATATTTCACTAAGCGCCTTGTCAGTCTAAGTGCTATCAAGAAATGTCTCAGCAGCACTGACAAAACCTCAAAGGTACCATCTTCAGACACCCACACCGTCGTCTACAGTAAGATCTTAATTCTATCCATCGCCTTTACATCCATTACTACTACGTAAGCATACACCTACTATTTTATACAAACACACTAGTAATGACATTTCACCTTTCTCACATACGTACGCAATACAATTTGTACTATACAGAACTTTTTTAACAACCAGAAAAAAAACTTTACTTATTCAATATATTTCAAACAACTGTATATTTCAGCTTAATTTTTTGTTATATAATGCTTGTTGTAATCGTACAACACATATAATGCTTATGTTGTAATCGTACAACACCCTCCCCGAAGACTTCCAACACCACGGCTGATTGATGAAGATCGCTTCGATCTCAGACCTGCCCTGATTTATGTCCAAGATCGAATAGTCGCAGATATCTTCTTGTCGGACTGGTCCAAGCAGGGCGAAGACGTACAAGAAAAAAATAACACGAATAAATTGAACAAAAAGTAATTACTGTTTTTATATCAGTCCTTCGTACAATAATTGGTTATATCAGAGTTATGCCAACTCTGATATAACCAATTATTGCGAATTATTGCAAATAATTATCAGCCCAACCCCCCATCTAAATCGGAAGTAATATTATTTTTGTCGACTTGGTAAAGTTTGGGTTACTGTTTTAGTAAAGTTCATCACAAGACTGGAGTCCGGGGGGGGTGTTCTTCGGCAGGCAGTCACGTGGGGTGTATAACCAGCCGTGGCTGGGACAAACTCTCTGCCGTCTCTCTTCTGTCTCTGTCTCCGTCTGGCTAATTCA